GGTGTGTCCCTGCCCATGGCAGGGGATTGGGAATAGATGATCTCTCAGGTCTATTCCAACCCCTTAACATTCACTGATTCTATGATTCTATGAAACAAAGAAGACTTTAAAGTTGGAAAAATTCTGTGCTGACCGACCAGTAGCCAGCATTTTATTTCACTAGGGCACGTTCTATCTTCCCCACTTTGAAAGAGAGCACCAAATAGCTAAGGTTCTACTGCTGCTTTAAAATCATAGAATCATCATAGAGTGATTAAGGTTGGAAAATACCTCCAAGATCATGAAGTTCACCCTTTGGATGAAACACATCCCTTACAATGTCATTTCATTTCCTCCACTGACTGTGGCAGCTAAAGCAGATAAAAATATTCATTTTCTACTCTTCTAGTCTCTACCCTGAATACTGATATTCAATATTCAGCTCAGATGGTGCTTCCTGATAATTATTAAGTGGTCATGTTGGCAGAAGTTAATCTGCCTTAGCTTAGATGTCAACATCTCTCCTAGTCATTCCAAGGTGCTTTTATATCAAGGAAGAAAGAAAGTGGTTTGTCTTACAGCAGAAGAGATGTCCAAGATGCACAGGAAATGCCATTTCTACATGGACTGTACAGTCTTGCTTGGCTAGCTCAGTCCTACACATCTAAATGTCAAAAATCTGATGAAAAAATTGAGATATTAAATTCCTGCCCTTCATTTTCAACATTCACAGAAGGATTCTTGTTCCTTGTTTTTCACAATTTATCTAAGAGAGATTATGACAATAAATTGCTTTGTAGAGGTGGATTATAAAAGCCTAGATACCAGAACAAATCAGAGTAAGATAACTCCTGAGAGTTAGACTAGGATCATGCTGAGGGAGGCATAACTCAGTGTGGAACAACATCCTATCTCCTGGGATTCACACTATCCTCTCTACAAGACAATTCACACTTCTTATCTATCCTGAACAGCAATTCAGCATCAGATTATTTTCTCATCATTTAATCCAATCAAATATTTCATCTCTTTCTCTAGGGCTCAGATGCTTCTGAAATATGAATAGCTACTGTGTCTGCTTTTCACCATGGGGTTATTGCCAAATCTTGCAATCTTATCTCTCACCATGGTTTTGTTTGATCTCCAGTTTCCTCTCCTAGCATGAAAATGTATGGCAGAAAGTGCATGGAAAATACAGCTTCAGAAGCCATAAAAGCTCTTTGCCTGGTGGTTGTTATGTCCAAGCAGAAGAACAGAATCACTCTCTTGCACAATAGCAAAAGCAAAAGAGGCTGGAGCACCTCTGCTCTGGAGACAGGCTGAGAGTTGGATATGTTCTTCCTGGAGAAGAGAAGGCTCTGGGGAGACCTTAGAGCTCATTCCAGTGCCTACAGGAGCTCCAAGAGGGATGGAGAGGGACTTGGGACAAGGAGGGACAGAACAAGGGAGAATGACTTCCCACTGCTGGAGGGCAGGGTTAGATGGGATATTGGGGAGGAATTCTTGGCTGTGAGGGTGGTGAGGCACTGGCACAGGTTGCCCAGAGAAGCTGTGGCCCCATCCCTGGAAGTGTTGTCTGGGTTGGATGGGGCTTGGAGCAACCTGGTCTAGTGGGAGGTGTCCCAGACCATGGCAGGGGCATTGGAATGAGGTGATCTTTAAGGTCCCTTCCAACCAAAACCATTCCATGACGGTGGTGATGATGATGACAAGAAAGGTCCTAGTTTTCATGTTGTTTCCTAGTTGTAAGCAGTACGGTGCAAAGTAAAAAAAATCCCAGGATGACTCTACCACTGGTTGAGATGGGGCCAGTATTTCAGTCAGAACTTTCAAGAGCATCAGTGGACACTGCCATGCCTGCAGGTTCAGGATCTGCTTCCTTCAGATTATTAATCATTTTTATACATTCATTAAAAAGAAGGAAATCTGAGAAGGAACATGTGGACCTCACCCTGGGATACACCAAGTGAGCTGCAAGTTGCTAAACACCTAAGGGTGGACATACTGTTTAGAGATAATTTAGCACCAGTAGAAAATATTGTATCAATTGCCCTGAAGACAGATGTCCTCTGCATAGCCCAAACAGTGCTGTGTTGGGAGGATGGGATTCCTGCAGCAGTGTTGGAAAGCTCTATGCTAAGATGAACTGTTATCCCAACCCTGCAGCACTGCACTGCCCTGGCAGTGAATGTTGCATTAAACCAAATCAATGTGAGAAATATGATTTATTTAACCCTTCGAAAGCATCAGTTGATTTACACCACTAGAATGTTTTTAACATTGAAGCACTGCAAATATTCATTTATACAATTATTAATTCAGAGATTAAACTTGCAAGATATTAGGAAGAAAAGCTGTGTTATATGGATAAACACTGCTGAAGTGCTGATGATGTCAGAAATACTAGATGACACACTGTTTTCAGTGACATAACACAGGTGTATTCCATAAAAAAAGAATTGGTTTCTGCAGCCTATGTGAATTCAATAACTCAGCTGGCTCAGTTCCTTTGATTCCTGAGGCTCTGTCATTGGCACCAGCTATTTTCTGCACACACAACATAGTGGTGATGAGTGTGATTGAAGTATCTACACCCAGACACAGAATCACGTGAGGAAATGTCCTAGGCAAAAAATAGCTTTCACTGAAAAAATGTCCTTTACAAATAGGAACAGTTCCTAAACTTAGTGGGAGTGTAAAGACAGATTGTTTTACATTAGGGACAGAAGAGATTTCATGTCTCTTTTTCTTTTTTCTGTCCTTCTTTTTCTCTTTCTTTTTTTTTACCCTTACTTTTTTTTTTCTACTTTTATGAGGTAAAGGTGAAAGGTCTCACCAAAGGAATAAAAATGAAAAGAAAAAAAAGAACAGGAAAGTAAGGAAGGAAAATAAATATTCAGGTGGCAGAAACCTACTCACAATATTTTATTTATCAAATTATAGGCTTTCTATAAACTTCTGAAGTGAGATAGAAGGATGTTTCTTTAGGAATATAAAGATGTTTTCTTTAGGAATATATGGACCAGAAGTGGATTTATTGACAAATGACAAGCAGTAGACATAGACAGACTGAGATTTGTGAGTTGTTTTTCTGTTTCATGGTACTCATCACATGGACTCAGCAGTTTTGTTGTTTTGCACAGTGTGTTTAATGCAAGCTTTAGTGAGCAGAGCCTCTCTTACTGTGGAGTTTATAGCAACAAACTCAATGGGTCTAAGTCACAAGTGCTAGAGTGCAAACAGTAAATAAAAATAATGAGAAGATGATGTATTTGAGGGTATTCCCACTAAAAGATTGATGCCATTTGCTTTATTGTAAGAAAAATTGCCAGAAGTGATTGGCTTGACCTAGAATGTGATTCTATTTGTCTTATTTTTCCACCCTCTACACATTTACCCTCCTCTTATTTGCGCCAGATCCAGGACTATTCTCTTAGTACCCCCCACAACCTGATGGTACTAGCTCCTCTTGGAAAACCCCAGAGGCAGCTCACAAACTTGGACTCGGGCTCTGAAGGGGGTCTGGGTCCTCATGTTGACTGTAGCAACATTTAGAGCACAAGGTCCCTCCTTCATGCACTGTTATCCCATGCACGTGTGACAACAGCAGAACTGTCATCACAGCTCCTCTGAGATTCATTATCTTCCAGACTCGTTAAAGGGATTGTGATTAAGTGACACAATGAGGTCAGGGGGCACTTTACAGCCAAGATAGTGCTCAGCCCACCACGGGTGCTAGCTTGGTAACTGATGGGGTGGTCACGTCTTGGTGAGTTCCCATATGCTCTAAAGTTGTTGTCCTGATAGAGCAGACTGAGGAGGAAGGAACATCCTAGGTGGATTGTGGAGACCCTTGGCAGCACAAAGCAGCCAGATGTTGGCCACTCCAAAGTCATCTCAGAAAGCAAGAGAGCCTTCTCCTTCTTTTAATAGCCATCAAGTATTTTAGCTGAGAGCTGAACTTCAGTCTTTCAAATAAGAGGTTGCAGTAGCCAGATGAGAGGTCCAGTGCTCATCACAGAACTGATTCCTGCCCCTTTAGAGAGGTAAATGATGTATTTGAGTAAGAGTTGGAGCAGATTTTGAGCAAGCTGAAGGTATCCCTGTTCATCATGAAGGAGATGACATTTCAAAGGTCCTTTCCAACCCAATCTATTCTATGAATATATGATTCCATGGAAAGTGACTTTCTGCTACATCTAACCCTCATCCTCATTAGCAGCTACAGCTGACATGAAGGACTTGATGTGTAATCCAGAAACAGATCATGCAATGAGGATGAAGCATGTGGGTTCTCATGGAGAAATGGAGATTCCTTCACAGGCAGTTCCCAGAGTGAAGGACAATATCCCACACTGTCCAGCATTGAGGCAATATTTGAGAGTATTTGGAGGTAGTATTAGGGGAAGTCACAGTTCTTGTCCCTCTTCCTGAGCAAAGAAAGGAAGAGAACTAAGGGTTGAAATTAAATGTAGCATTTGCCAGGTAAAAAACTGGTGTCCCATACAGGAATTAGACGATTTTAAAGATTATACTTCTCTATAAGGGAAAATGAAATGCCTTCAGTTTCACCCTCTTCCTCACTACCACATTGATTATGCCTAAATCTTCCCCAGAAGATGTAAAACCCTGTAAAAAATGAGGTAACTTCTCCCTTAGGCAATCCCTCCCACCCCTTCCCTGTCTTGGATCTGATTAAGACATAGCAGAGCTTCTATTTCAATGGAAGAATACTTCAACACAGCCTGACAACAGGCTTTGGTAGATCCTGAAGTTCTCCAGAACCATGTTTATTTTTCATAGAATCATAGAATATCCTGAGTTGGAAGGGACCCACAAGGATCATCAAGTCCAATTCTCAGCCCTGCACAGGTCAATACCAAAAATCACACCCATGCCTGACAGCATGGTCCAAAGCTCTTTTATTTAGGTGACAACTAATTGTCAGTTGATTCTGGATCTGGAAGAATCTACCTCTTTTCTATCAGCTCATGATGATCCACTTGCTCTTCTCTTTGCAGATTGACAGCATGCAGGCTCTGCTGCACTGCCCCAATGTGCTGGTGTGTGTCGGCCGAGAGCCATTTAAACCTGTATCCATGGAGAATTTGAGGAAACACTCTGTGGAGAAGCTGCCCAACCTGCCTCCCCGCTCCAACGGCAACAGTGGCAACGAAAACAATGAAAGTAAGAAAACCTCTGGGGCACGGTACACTCTAGGTCTGTGTCCTACAACATGGAGATCACAGGCAGCTATTGTACTGCCTCAATGTGCAGATTTCATGTAGAAAGTGCACTTCCCTGCACTGCCAAGCCTTTCCATTCTCCCCTTCTTTTTCTCTGGTTTCCTTCTAGGATTTCCTCCCTGCACCCCTCAGTCTTTCTTTTCCATGCTCCCTATGTCTGGCTGACTTCCCTTCCTCTTTCATATCTCTGTGTTTCCTCTTCCTTCCAGAACTCCCTCCTTTCCTGTGTCTGCCTCTGAGACTCCCCAAACCCTTGAGATTTCCCACGAATCCTCTACCCCCTTGTCTGTCTGTCTGTCATGTCAGGCACTTGCCTGCACCAGGACCACAGGATGCCTTGGTTCTGTCACCTGGAGACTCAGTTTCTCCTGGAGGTTACAGTTGCCCTTTGGAGTATGAAGTATATTTTTATGGAAAGGTTACATTTAGGAAGGAGTATGATATGGATTATTCAGGATTGTATTTCTTAGGCACTTCATCATGAGTTATCTAAGATCACAGGTAATCACAGAATAATTAAGGTTGGAAAAGACCTCTGAAGTCATCAAGTCTGACCTTGACCTACTACCACCATGTCAGCTAGACCATGCTCCAGTGCCATGTCCAGTCTCTCCTTGAACACCTCCAGGGATGGTGACTCCACCACCTAATTAAACCAGCCACCCTCAATAGCTGTGAAAAGAAGCTTCCCACTCCTAAAAGTCAATTAATCTCACCTATATTAGGGATTGATTGTAGTGTGAAATGAAGTGTGCTCCAGAGGTGCTCCTGTTTCTCTCCATTGTCAGTACCAGGAGCTGGGAAAGATTTACTCATGTGTTTACAACTAGTAGAAATTCATGGGGAGAGGCATCGCACACTCACTGCCTGAGACAAAAAAGCCCAGAGGGAACAGTGGGAATATACTGAAGCTTTGTCCATCTGGAGCCTGAGAAAACACCTCAGTTCAAATGCATAAGGATGGTTAAAGAAGAGTTATTTCATGTGTTACTGGTTTTGTTTGATGTGCTCCTGTTCGATACTTACTTCCTAAAAGGCCATCCATTCAGCTGTATATCCATATGCCCAGGGAAGCATGTGATTGTCTAGACAAATATACAAGTAAATTTTGGATAAACATGCATTAGAAAGAAGATAGATGAAGTCAAGACAGCCTGATAGCAACATATTCTGCTAGAAATGAAGGATCTAGAACCTAAATATATCTATGCAGATCACTGAACCGAGTCACAAATATGCTTCAGATTGCAAGTCTAAAAATTCCCTTATTTTCTCTGATTTCTTGGAGAGGAGAGGGACTTCCTTTTGGGCCCTCTTTCTTTGGACAGGGACTCTTTGTTAGGAACTGTAGTGATAAGAGTAAGGGGTACAAATTGAAAAAGGGGAAATTTAGATTAGGTATTAAGGAGAAATTCTTTACTGTGAGAGTAGTGAGACACTTGCCCAGGGAGGTTGTGGCTGCCCCAGCCTCAGCAGTGTTCAAGGCAAGGCCAGGTAAAGCCTTGAGCAACCTGGTCTGGTGGGAGGTGGTTGAGATTTAGAAGGGTTTGGGACTAGATGATCTTTAAGGTCCATTCCAACCCCTTAATATTCTATGATTCTATTAAATTGCTCTGTATGTATGTACAGGGCAATTTAATAGAATATTATCATTTTATTTTGCTTCCTGGCATGTACTTAATAAAACTAAAAAAGTGTTTGTGTTTCAATTTACATTTTTTAAAAATGAGAAAGTAAATGTATAGAAGATTTTAATACAGATTATTAATTCAAAACCTGATGTTAAACAAGGGGGTTGAACTAGATGATCTCCAGAGGTCCCTACCAACCAGAACTATTCTGTGATTTATGGCCATCACTTAGTCAAAGACAAAATTTCAAATTATATAAACTAACATAGACTTAGCTTTAGTGGAATAACTTCAGTGTTCACTAGTTTGAGGGTTTGCCTTACGTATTTTGGGACATCTTTCTATGAGTTAACATTTTTCTCCATCTTTCTTCCCTTCACTCCAGTGAACTTTGGACTGAAAGCCAAAAAAAGTGTTATCCATCCACGGTCAGCATCGAGCAATAGGTCAATGAGATTTTCCTTGTCATCAGAAAAGTCGTATCCCAATGGCCTTGCTGCCTCACCAGATAACAGTGCACCTTTCTCCAATGGCTGCTCTCATGCCAAAGCTGGAGACCTGGTCCATTCATTGGTTAATGATGACATAGAAAAGAGGGTACACGTCAACAAAGATGGGAGCTTGTCCGTGGAGATGAAAGTTCGCTTCCGCTTGCTGAATGATGAGACTTTGCAGTGGTCTACCCAGATCAAGAAGTCCAACCTGATGAACTGTCTGCCTTGTGAAGAATCAGGTGTGGAGGAGGACAGTGGATTAGATCCCATCCAGAAAATGAACCCAGAAGCCAGCTCAGAGGCTGATGACTCTTTATATCCCTGTGATATTGATTCTTACATGTCAAAACTTGAGGAATCTGAATGCGATGAGGCTCACTGTCACAGCTGTGGAAAGAAACACCAGGACTATGACATTTGGAAAAACCCCATGCACACAACCCAGAGGGAAGAGCCCAACGTTCGAAGCACCTGGCGCACAAGATCATCGTGCTCCAGCACATCTTCCCGGAGGAGAGTAGTCCACAAAAAAATGACGTCTGTGGATAGTCTCCACACCACATCTAGTGAGGAATTCTCTGAGCACATTGTGAGAGAGTCCTCATCCTACTCAGAGACTATACAGAACAGAATGGCATATCGATCCGTTAAAAAGTGTACGTGCCGCAGTGATTTGTCTACAGGTGCTTCCAATGGAGAAGACCAGCAGGAACACACTCGGACAAGCACAGGAAATAGCCAGAGGCATTCATCCTTGGGTGCAATGTCACATTCAAGCTGTGAAAACAACCTGGATACTCAAGATGATGTTGATGACCATGAGATCAGCAAAATCATTTCACAAAATGAAGAGGAAAATTGTTTGGAAGCTTCATCTGTGAAGTGCTTTAAGGATGACGTGGAAGAGGTTGAAAGCAGCAGAGTTGGGAGCGTCATGTCAAGGTCATCTCTGCACTCCAGACAGAGCAAGAAGAATGTATGTGAGGAAACAAGTAGTGTGGGTAGGAGCATGTCCTCCTCAAGCCTTCAAAAGGCAACTCAAGAAGATAACACCCGGTCCTCCACCCCTGCCAACAGTGTGCACAGCAAGTCTAGTAATTGTACCACACCAAAAGCAAAGAGTGAGCAGGATGACCACTCTGATGACAATCCAGTTATCTCCTCCTTCTCCAGTGAGTCCTGCCCTAAGAAAGAGGCTGAAGAGGTGGAAGCAGAGCAAGAAGAAAATGAAGTCAATGAAGTCAGCTCAGTGTCAGCAAACACAAAGCCTAGCCAATCAGTTAGGGGGGAGAGCAGTGAAGGGGAACGATGCTCTACACAAGGAAGCCACCATGCCAGGGCTAGTGACAGGAACAGCAAGAAAAGTGACAGTGATGAGAACATTCCATGCAATGCCTCTTGCTCTTCCAGAGGATCCAGAAAGAGCAAACGCAGCCACGTTCATTTGGATACACAGTCTGAAGTGTCTGTGTCTTCACTTGAATCCACTCCAAATAAAAAGAAGAGTTCCCTGCATGCAGATGATGTGAGATCAGGCAGCAGAACATCTAATTATTCAAAAAGCTCATGTGAAACCAAGAAAAAATCTGTTGGAGGCCCCATGTCTCATCAATCAGGATCTCTTCACTCATACATTTCATCTGCCAGTGAAGCAGAGGCAACTGCAGGTCCTGTTGAGGAGAAAAGCTCCAAAAGTACTGCCAATGGCTACAGTCAATCCACAAAAAGCTCAAAGAAGAGAAGCCATAGGGAGGAAAATAGCAAGCCATCATCCCTCTGCTCAAGTTTTTCAAGTCCTAATGGAAAAGCTGGAGAGGGTCATGCCAATATTAATTCAGAGACCCCTTCTTCGAGACAGGGAAGTATGAGTGAGGGTGTGTGTTCAAAAGTTGACCACACAGAGAATGGGATAAGGAATGGAAATCCTGCAAGTAGCTCCTCAAGAGTCTCTTCCAAGTCAGAAGTAAAAGATAAATGCTTGTTGACACAGGTATCCCAGGAAACGGATGACAAATGTTCCCAATCAAATGTCTCTCAGTCTTCAAAATCAAGGCAGGTAAAAAGTAACAATCTTCATGTGAAGATGTCAAACTCCAGCCGAGCATCATTGTCTGAGACTATGTCAGTGTGTAGTCTGCACCGTCCTGCCCCACCTAAAGGGAAGCCAAAGAGAAAGAATATGCGTTCAATCATGTTGAAGAATTCCTCTGTTAGCAGCATCGGCACCGAGTCAGCACAGACCA